CCTAATTCTGAAATAGACCTAATTCCAAGATAGATCTCTTTATCCTCCAGAAAGCGCCCCATCCCAGCCACCATCTCCGAGGCCTGGTGAGTGGGTCTGTCACACTCTCAGAGGTTTGCTTTCGTGGATGTCAGGAAAGCAAGGACCAGTTTGGGATTGGGGCTCTCAAGACAGCGAAGGCTGCTGTCGTGTTCCCAGCCTGCCACCCTTCTCTCTCCTGAGTGTCGCGTCTATTAAAATGGCGGCTGCGGATGTGCAGTGACATGGGTTTGCTCCCCTTGGAGGTGGGCGCTCTGGACTCTGTTCCCACAAGGTTTGCTGCTAAACGGGGTGTCTGGAGAGTGTCTGGCCTGGGCACGCTGGGAGTCTGGTGGGAGAGGGCGAAGGCCCCTAATCACTCACGCCCCTGCCGTCTGGACTTGGGGGTGAGGCTGATGGTCTGATGGAGAAGCCCCTCACCTAGAGACCCGCAGGTTTGCCTTGAAGGCCTCTGTTTCCCTTCCCCTTGCATGGCCCCCCTTTGGGGACAAGCAGGTTTGCCAGGGACACTGGCATGTTGGTCAGCTGGCAAAGTCCAGGTCAGACCAACCTCCAGGTCTGAGCCACGGGCTGAGGGCCTGAGGTGGACAGCCCCTCCCAGCCCAGCGATCGGGAGGAGGGTGCCCTCAGGCCATCTACAAAAGGTTTCCTGGTGTGGTTCTCACATCCAGATCGCATAGTCCAAGAAGCCACCACTGGCGAGGCTGCAGAAACCTAGCATGAGCGGCTGGCCATAGGCCCAGGGCAGAGCCCCTGCGGGCCTAGAGCATCCTCAGGACCAGGGGATGGCAGCGAGGTGGGGTGGGGGTTGCCGTGAGGAAGCCAGGCCCAGAGTGGGCAGGAGGGTGCTGAGCTGGCAACGGCTGTGTCAGCCCAGTAGGCAGGTCCTCCCACTCCTCCTGCCCAGGGAGTTGTGAGGAAGGTGCTGGCGCTCCCTTCCATGCTCAGAGAGCTGGTGTTTCTATCGCTGTGCTTAGGCCCCTGTGGCCAAAGACCTCACAACCAAATATGGCATCAATAGCTTGGGGTGGGGGGGTCAGAGCTTTTGCATTAGGACTTGGACTAGAGGCACTAAACATGAGTGTCCACGCAGCACCTGTGTCTGCACCTGGAGCACTGCCTTTCTTGTGCAACGAGGGGATCTAGCTTCCTGCTGTCTGCTCAGGGGCTGTTCTGCCCTGGTACCTCCTGAGCTTTGACCAGGGGTGTGGCTGCCAGGGTCTCCTCTCCGCAGGCCACCACCACTCAGGTGACCCAAAACTCGGTGATGTGCAGCTCTCAAAGAGCCTCCTTCCATCCAAACCAAAATGGCAGCTTTACCTCCTGAGGCCAAAACTATGACAGGAAGGCGGCAGCCAGAGCCCACAGCCCACAGGCGAGGGACAGCAGGATGTGTGCCCACACCGGGCCCCCTCCTTCACCCCGTGTGGAAAGTACCCTGGTGTGTGACCCTCAACATTTCCATCCCCTCCTCTCATCTCCTATTTTCCATCCTGCCCTGGACCCAGGCTGGTCTTTCTCTTAGGATGTGTCACCATCCCAGGTGGTGTCTGGGGGGTATTCTGTTGGCAGAGACCAGTGCCTCCCGTTACATGCATGGGCAGGCTGGCATACCCCGAGCTCCTCTGAATAGGGAGGGCTCCATCCCCAGGCTCACCAGGACACAGGGAAGCCAGGACCAGGGGCAAAGAGAAAAGCTGGAGCCTCAGGGGCACAGGAGGGTTAGAGCTGTCGGACAAGAGAAGCAGCCTCCCAGGAGGGGGCTCTCCTGTGGGCTTGGCAAATGGGGTCACTCATCAAGGCCCCAAGAGGTTCAATGGAGGAGGGAGATGGACAGGAAAGGGGCAGAAAGGTGTTGGTTTTGGTTTTATCCCAGCGACATGGTGGAGAGGGATCAGCTCAGGCCCTGACTTTCTCCTGTTTGCCAGTTTTTCCAAATATATCCTCAAAATGACACCAAAGCCTTGTCTCTGTCATCTACCCATCTTGCCTATCCCAGCCCACTCTAGCTTTCATGTCCAGCCATCATTCTGCCCATCCCCTCAGCCCATCTAAAGTTATTTATTGATTCTCTCTTTTCATCAATTCATCCTTTTGTCCAGACCAGTCATGTGTCTGGCTTTCCATTCACCCATCCACCCACTGACTCACCCATCTATTCATATGACCACCCTTCCATCTATCCGCCCATCTATCCATTCATCCATCCATTCATCCATCCATCTATTCATCCATCCATCTATCCATCCATTACTATATCCCAACCATCACTTGATCCCATCCTCCCCCGTTCATCCTTTTACCCATCCGCTTGTCACTATTTATCCTTATGCATGTTTCTGTCCACCTCTCCTCCAATCTAACCCATACAACCATATCTCAATCCATCCACCTCTGCAGCCACTGAACCCATTAGTAGCATCACCAACCCCCTTCATGTTCCAAAGCTTGAGGGTGCTTTGGATCCTCCTCCCATGACCTGAGCTTTCTCACATCTGTGGGGAGGTCGAGACCTGCTCCAGAGACAGATAAGGTTCTGTGACAGACATTACGGGCAGACTGGACCGATGTCCTAGCAACAGCTCTGGCCAGTCTGGGCCCACCTGGAAATTGTGGTGGCCATGAGCCAGGAGTGTGAGTTGGGAAGTGGCCCATATACCTGCTCAGGGACCCTGTGACCAGAGCCACCAGTCAGGGTGAGCACATTACCTGGCAAAACCCTGGCATTGTAGCCTGGGCTACACCCTGACATGGTTGCCTGGTCTACCATGTCTCCAGGGGTCACTGTCCCAAGGAAAGGAGGGAAAGAAAGAACCCAACACTGACCTCCTTCCAGACACCAGCTCCTGGAGCCCCTCTTCTCCCGGGGTGCTCATGGTCACACTGTCCCACTCCCATTCCCATCTTCCATGCTGGGGTCCTGGACAGCTGGAAATTAGCTCTTCGGAGCTCTGAATGATGCAGGAGCAGGCCCTGCCCAGGCTGAATTTGGCTGATGGTGGTAGGTGTGCCTGGGAACCTAGAGGCCCAGTAGGGGCCCCCTGCCCAGCTCTCCCCAGCCCCATCAGCCCATTTCCACAGGCCCCCGTGCCACATGGAGCAGTTTCCAAAAATGGGGCTGTGATCAAGGTCCTGGATTGTGGCTCCGATGGCAGGAGAGGAGGGAGAGCAGGAAAGCAGAGGGGGTGCAGGAGCTGGACTCTGAGGACCTGTCTGCTCTCTGGACACCTCGTGGATAAGGCCTGGGGGAGCTGGATGCCTGTGACAGCAACCTATAACAGTCCCCCAAAGTCCCAGAAAACGCTATCTTGCATGCTTCTGTTCCTTTTGCTTCAATTTGGCCCCTGGAGTGCCACCCACAGACCCCTTGTAGCAGTAACGCAACGTTAGGACTCAAACTGGGGCCTGGTTTTTAAATATTAGAATGAAGGCACTGGGTGCCCTTGCTCCCAACCTGAACAGGGCCCAGCCAGGCCAGCTGTCGGCTCACCCACTGCATCCTTCGCAGGCCGAGGGGTTTGGGCGTGGAAATGGGGCTAGGGCACAGCCTCACACACCTCATGGGGAACACATTGATTTTCCACTTCCTCTTTCTTCTCTTTTTATTTTTTTAATTCCCCAAAAGGAGTTGGACAGTGAGTGTTGGGTCGTTCTCCTGTAACGGGTTTTCCTCGCGCTGTGTAGGATCCGTGGCATGCCGTCCCTGTCCCGTGTCCTCTGATGTACTCTGTTTGACCTGGACACTGTCAGACATTATAATTCAGGTCACGTCAGTTACCTCTGTGTCGTGTAATAAAGCCAACATTTGCCATCAGGCTCTGCCTCTCCTTGAGTTCACGGCGACTTGGGCTGTCCTGTTTCACACATTATTCACCAAATGTGTTGGGGGCTTTCTAGGTTCCAAGCAAGAGAGACAAGGTCCTGCCCAAGCAAGTAAACAACCGTCTGACGTACGTTGGAGTGTGTATGGGACGCGGGCAGACGCCTGTTCGGTCCACCCCCAGCCTCCTGTCCGGTGACTTTCAAAGGTTGCTTCCTCAAGGTGATCTGGATGACCTTGGACCCCAAATGACACCCATGGTTTCATGAGCCCCGAGCCCCACTGCCTGTGGCAGTGCCAGGCACCTCCCATAAGACCCTGAGCATGGACACGAAGGGAAGGCACACCTTGACCCTAAGGAGCCAGAGTGTCAGCCATGGTGCCCCAGTTCCTGGGGCAGGTCCCATCCAGAGTCGGGCGCCCAGTACTCAGCACTCCTGGTTCACAGGCAGCCCCTGGGGGAGGGATGTTATTAATACTCGGGCCCAGGTTTGGAACATGGTGTATTTTGAAAGGCATCATTGGAAAGGCCAGTGTGGAGGCGAGGCTGTCCCCACGCCAGGCGGCTGGCGGGAGCCCCAGCTGGGCCTGGTGTGTCAGCAATCTCAGCATAGAGTGGGATGACAACGTTTTTCCATTGCAGAGGCTGAGCTCAGAGGGAGGCTGCCGGGCCCGGGCCTGAGTCCAGCGGTTCTCGGCTTGGACACAGCACCGCGATGTCCTGCCTCCCACGTGGAGGTAGAGGGAAGGGCCCTGACCAGAGGCCCTCCATGGGGTCTTAGACCCACAGGAGGGAGGGGACCAACTGCCTTGTGTTAGGGAAGAAAGACAGGCTGTGGCTGCACTTCCATCCCTGTCCAGCCAGTCCTATCCTCAGTGCAGACTTGGATGCTGCCTTGAGGCACTGTGGCCTGTCAGGAGAGACCTGGGCATGTGTCATTTATACGGGACAGACAGCAGGCGAGGTCCAGGCACAGTGGCCACAAGGAGGGACAATCAGGGAGGCTCCCTGGAAGTAGTACAGTGGCAATAGTGCCCCCTAGAGTCGTGCACATGTAAATGTGGAGACGGAAAAAGGGGAGAGTCAAGGACCTGCATTTGAGCTGGGAGGCTGACGCATACAGGACCACAGCCTGGGGCCATGAGAATCAGCCTGGAGACCACCTTCTTCAGGGACCAAGGGGACACCATGCAGTTTTCAGCTCAGCATCAATTGCGGTGAGAAAACTACTGGGTAAAGGGAAGGGGAAGTCAGACAAAGAGGCAGGGGCCCACGCTTCCCAGGGCTGGGGCGGGAGCCACAAGTGTCCCCACTTCCAGGACAATGCCTCATCCCCTCACACCTGCAGACCCCACCGCCCCCCACACCCTGGGGAAGGAATGCTACTCCAGCTCCAAGCTCACAGTCCAGGTCTACTGTGGCCTGCAACTCTCCCCCCAATTCCAAATTCCCAGGGAAGAGACCCCAATTAGCCAAACTTGGACCTACCAGTTATGCCCTGGGGTAGGCAAAAACACTCGAAGGGCCCCCCATAAAAATGTCAGGAGGACAGAAAAGCCACAACAGTAGCTCCACCAACGCTGAGCCAGGCGAGGACAGATGGAGGAGACCAGGGCACCCAGGGACATGGCCTGCAGCTGCCCTCCACGGGCAGCAGTGAGGAGCGGTAGAGGCGGAAGAAGCAAGCTTTATAAATTGCCTTCAGGTGCCCCAGATCCATTGCCTGATCTGCATATAATTCAACCATTGTGTCCTGTAGCCAAAGCAGGATTCTGACTTCATTTATGTAGCTCCTACCTAAAAGCTGGTCCAGAACTGGAGTGGGGGAAGGGAGGGCCCATGGGGAATGGACGGATGGGTGAAAAGGGACAGAGGTAGATCTCTGACCCCTGGGCAACCACCCTGTCCTCACCCCTCCAGGCCTTTGCTCAATCTGTTCCCTCTGCCCAGGCTGTCCTTGGCCCCAGCTCCTCCTGACCCAGTCCATCAAATCTGGCTCAAATGCCACCTCCTCCAGGAAGGTTGCTCTGAACCCTATACCATCCTTCCTCCTTCTGTTCTCTCGGATAATTTGTTCATGTCTGTGTCATAACAGGGCCTACCACTGGAAGTATAACACTGATCAAGGTATGTAGACTGGCGACTCCAGTGAGCCCACCCCTGCCCTGGGCTGTCATCGCCCGTGGCTCAGGCCTTGAAGCCAGGCTGAGCTGACATAGGGGAGGCTCCCCTGGACTCTGCCTCAGCTGCACTCCACTCTCCAGCTGGAGAGTCCTAGAGATGCCTGCCCAGTGAGTAAGAAGTGGACGGGCCAGCGTCCATGGCCTTTGACTCCTCAGGTCCCAGAAGCCAGGCTGGAGCTTGGCTGCAGCTGGAGGCCTTTTAGGTACTTAGTGGGAGCAGCTGGCCTGGAGGGGCCTAAAAACCCAAGTAGGACGCCGGTAGGTGCTGGTGTGGAAGTGAGCATTGGAGGCCTTGCCTGGCCTGCCCTTCACTTCATCCTCACCCATCGGGCCTTTCTGTAGACATGCTCTTTCCACCCCCCCACTGAGGCCTGGCTCCAGAGGGTTTCCTCAGACCCCAAGGCTGGGGGGTCTGGAGCTGGACCGAGAAGACTCCTCTGAAGCCAGAGGGTGGGAAAGTGGAGGACGATGAGGAAAATACAGGCTTCCCCCCGTTTCTATTGGACAGGGAGGACCTGTCTGAGGACCTGGCTGAGGACTCAGTACCGGACCAGGTAACAGCTTCGTGGAGCACAGCTGCCTAGAGCATCAGGTGGAGGCTGGCCGGGGACCTTGGGCACCCTGCGTATGGGGGCAGGTGGTGGGGGCAGGAGATGAACTACCGCAGCTCTGACCTCGGGGGTGAGAGGCCACTGTCCCTTGCCTGGAAGAGGGTAGTGGGGATGCCCATCCCTGCACAGGCTGGAGGGAGCAGGGCAACCTGTCTGGCCTGAAGGGGCCTTTGTCTGTTGGGGGAGGATTACAAGAGCTTCTCTGTGGCCCAAGTCCACATGGCCTTCCCATTCCTCTTGGAGAATCCCCCAGCATGTTCCTGATGAGTCACCAACCCTGAGGACCACTGGGGTCAGGCCTGCCTCTCTCTGCCCTCCCTCAAGAGGAGCCCAGGGTGCCCTGCCTTGGGGCTCAGCCTGGGCTATATGCTAGCAGGAGCTGGAGGCCATCAAACTGAATCTGTGGGCCATGGAGCAGGCCCAGGGACCAGAGCTGCCCAGGGCGCAGGGCCAGGCCGGAAAAGAGGAGGCAGCTAGGCCTGTGCTGGCCCAGCAGCGACTGAGTCCTGAGACAGGTAGGAGCCAGCAGGCCAGGCGGACCCCTTCCCTGGGTGGGTGGGCCGGCCCCCGAGTCCTTGGGCTTGCAGCTCTGAGCCCCCTTCGTCCTCTGTAAACCAGGTGGGCTGTGAGCTGCTACTGAGAAAGGGCCGGCTCACAGGAGTGTTGGCCCAGCAGATGACAGAAGTCCTTCTAGAACAGGCCTAGGGGGCCCTCTCCCCAGGAGTGAGAAGTGAGCCATAAACATGAGGTGTCTGCCCTTAGCAGCTGCCCAGAGCCCGGCCCACCCCTGCCCTGCTCTGGGGTCCCTGAGAAGGTGGGAATGGACCACAGATCCATCTATGTGGGCAACGTGAGATGGGGTCTTTTCAGGGGCCACTTCAGGTCTGCTTCTTCCTCCTGGCTGTGAGGATTAAAGGAAGGGACCCGGCCCAGCCGGTGTGGCTCAGTGGTTGAACACCGACCATGCACCAAGAGGTTCCATTTCTGGTCAGGGCACACGCCCGGATTGCAGGCTTGATCCCCAGTAGGGGGCGTGCAGGAGGCAGCCAATTGATGATGTTTCTCTCAATCAATAAAAACATATTTTAAAAAATAAGGAAGGGACATGTATGGAGGCAAACTCAAAGCCACACAGGCCTGAGGGAAGAAACTGGAGGGTGGTGGGTCTAAAGAGGTGGGAAGGGCCTGTGGGCCTGTGTGGTCGAGTGTTCTGATTCTCCAACGTGAGAGGGAGTCAGGATTTCCACATGAAATCTCCCAGTTGGTCAATCATTGGCAGCAAACTCCACTTTATAAAGCCATACACTCTGCACAGGCCAAATAAACATGGGGGTGTTGCCTAACACATGAGGGTGTTCAACTCGTTCCCCAGTCCACCTCCAACAGGAGTGGGGGCTGAGGCCTGGGCCAACTCCCCGACCCTGGGCTCCAGTCAACCCCTCTCTACCAAGAAAACATGCTGCAGGGGGGCCAGAAGGGGGAAGCTCAGGGGGAGACCCCCGAGGGGGAGGCCTCTGCAACAGCGCCCTCACCAGGCCGTGCCTGTGTCAGGTGGGCTATGGGGTCATAGCTGGGGAGCTGGAGGCCTACTTCAACATCTGTGGGGAGGTCCAGCAAGTCACCATCCTGTGCAACAAGTTTTCTGGACACCCCAAAGGGTCGGTACAGGGCTGTGAGGAGAGGGCTGGGCACCCCAGAGAACTGCCCGGCATGGGTGGCCTGAGCTGGCCCTCGCCAGCCCTCATTTCATCCCAGCTATGCCTACATTGAGTTTGCTACTGAGAGCTCAGCCCAGGCTGCTGTGGGGCTGGACAAGAGCATCTTCCAGGGCCGGGTCATCAAGGTGTGTGAGCCCCATGAGTCACCAGGGCACCTTGAGGTGGGGGCACTGGGGTGCATGGACTCGCTCTGAGCTTCTCTACATTAAGCCATTAACCCCTGAGGTGCCAGGAATGCAGGCAGAGGGAGGCTGACACACAGAGAGGTTGACACACTGCCCAACCTGACCCTTCTCCGTCTCCCAGCATCTCTTGGCACACCTTCTGGGCAGCAGGAAAGGGGTAGAGGCACCCCAGACCCCAAAGGGTTTGTCTTGCATGTGGCACTGGGGAGGCACCCCTCCCAAACTGGATCTCACCTCATGAAGGGAGAGATGTGGGCTCAACCGGGACACATCAAGTGGCCACAGATGTGTCCGGACAGTTTAGAACTAAGTGGGGATCTTGAGAAAGTGGTGAACAAGATTAGGGTCTGATGCCTTGGGAGGCGCCGTGCCTGGATGCCACGAGGGTCTGGTGGGCTCTGGGGCCTGTGCACACCACCTGTGAGCTTCCAGCAAAGAAACCCAGGAAGCCCCAAGGATCACTGGCAGCCACGAGAAGCTGGAGAGGAGCCTCGAACGGATCCTCCCTCAGAATGGCCAGAAGGACCCACTCTGCTGACACCTTGACTTGACTCTGGCCTCCAGAACTGTGAGAGTACATTTCTATTGTTTGAAGTCCCTTCCCCCTCCAGTGAAAAGGTGGGTGGAAGGTCTGAGTGTCAGGAACCGTGCCAAGGTCACCCAGCAGCTCGGGGCAGAGCCAGGCTTGGTCGAGGAATTTCTGAGCGTGGTCAGGACCATGAGCAGTGGGGCCGCAGGTGAGGCATGCCACCAGGTGTGGTTCCTGAGCTGCAGATTATGTAGCACCTGGCAGATGACACCAGCTCCTGCCAGCTCAGCACCTTAGGCCCCAGCAGGGGGAGTCTGCATTGGTCTTGATACAGTCATCATGCGTGTTGGCTTTTCTGTTAAGGTCCTGCTGACAGTCTTCTACCCCAAGCAGTTCCTCTTTAGATGCATTTTCTTGATCCTTTCTGTGTGGCCACTTCGAGGACAGAGTGAGCCCAGAAGTCCCTCCTTTCCTGTGGACTGCAGGCCTGAGCAGGCTAAGGTGGAAGAAGGATGGAAAGCACTCCTGGACGTGGCTGCCATGGGCTCTGAGCAGTGAGTCACTGAGCAGACTGGAGTGGCTATGCCTGGACAAAGCCCAGACACACGGTTCCCCTTGCCCCTGTCTGGTCTGGGCCAGAAGGACGGAAAGGGAGAGGTACTGATGCCCAAGGGGAGACTGACTGCTGGCAGTGAACTTCAGCTGAAGAAATCATCTGGAACAACAGCCAAGGGCTGACTAGGACCTGCAACCGAGAGGCTCAGCCCTGGGGTGGCAGAGGAAAGCCAGGCAGGTGGCTCTCAACAGGCCACCTCCTGTATAAAGATGCAAAAAGATAACTGTGAAACTGCCATCTGACAGTTCTGCTGGCAGAACAAAGACTAGCACATTACTTCCGACCTTGGTTTCCTCACACTTAAAATGGGGATGCAACCTAACAATGTGTGTGAAAACTCCCTAATGTAGAAAGCATTTACGAGTCCGTTGGCTGTAAATACAGGAAAACCCAAATAGCAATGGCCTCAACAAGGGTTTCTTTTCTTTTCTTCTTTACATAAAAAATTGCTGAATGCAAGTAGCTCAGAGCTGGTATGTCAGCAAAGACCCGGGCTCCTGCTAGCTTTTTGCTCCCTGTCCTTAGGGGATGAGCTCCAGCCATCACATTCAAGTTTTAGGCAGGAAGAAGGGAGAAGATGACAAAGGACTCCATCTGTCATGTGAACCCCCTTTAAAGTATCTTTTCTGAAAGTCTCTCCCAACATCATTCACTTACATACCATAAAAACTACCTATCCTTGCGTGCTATGAAAGGTAGGAAATATCTTTTGTCTAGTCAATGGTCCTCAATAACACTGGGAATGTGAGTAAGGAAGCAAGGAAGAATAGATACTGGGTCGGCAACTTGCAATCCCTATCAGAGCCACTGCTCAGGCAGAAGAGATCACTATCAAAACCTCAACCACGGACTGCAGGGAAGAAATCCTGTGAGGGGGCCAACGGTCCACTGGCATTGCAACCAACACCTGCCTGGTACTTCTCAGCCCTACTCTAGGTTTCCCACTTCCACCAGCAGTGAGGCAGGAGAGGGGGACTGGGACATGTTTTTAACACACATTCCTAGCTGTTGTTGTTTTTATTTCTGTAACTTAAAAAGTAATCCTGGCCCTAACCGATTTGGCTCAGTGGATAGAGCGTCAGTCTGCGGACTGAAGGGTCCCAGGTTCGATTCCAGTTAAGGGCATGTACCTTGGTTGCGGGCACATCCCCAGTAGGAGGTGTGCAGGAGGCAGCTGATCGATGTTTCTCTCTAATCGATGTTTCTAACTCTCTATCCCTCTCCCTTCCTCTCTGTAAAAAACCAATAAAATATATTATTAAAAAAAAAGTAATCCTGTGCTTGTTAGAAAGGAAGGAAATCCAAAAGGGTGCGTAGAAAAGTTCATCTCCCAGTTCCAGCCCTAAGCTCACCAATGTGCAGCCCATTCCCCCAGGGATCTGAGCCACCTTCCTCCTGGTCAGAGACCCTCTCCCCAGTGACTGAGGGCGGGAGGGAAGGACTCAACGTCTGTCTTGGGGCGCTGACTCAAGGAAGCTAGCCAACAGCTGTGTGCGCTGAATACAACTTGGAGCAGACTGTGCGGGCGGGGCTCAGACTCAGCAGGTCCCTGTCGCCTCGCCTACTTCACAGGACACAAAAGGGCAAAGAACCTGGGTGCCTGACCCCAGAAGGGCTGACACGTCAGCCACAGTCAACTATTAGGACTGTCCTCTGGACTTTGCTGAGCAAGCCTCTGGGGACACAGAATGTAGACATCTAATTACATCAGCTCCTCCTCAAATGTAAGCCCTCCCCTCTCCCTCCCCCCTACCCCACCCCCACCCCCGCAAGCAGTTTGCCCTCGAGCCTGAGGCGCAGCAGGGGACTCAGAGCCTAACCCCGTCCAGCCCTCAAGCCACTAGAAGCACTGTGCACTAACAGATGGAAGAGGCTCCTTCACGCTCAGAAAGCAACAGCCACAGGTGAGACCCTGCAGTTACACGAAGTGGCCTAGATCTCGTAACAGCTGCCTCCCAGAGTTGGGCCAAGTCCAGACATCAGGCTGATGCGAGACCAGAAAGAGAACTTCTCCCTGTGGAGGAAGTTCTAAATCCGGCCACAGAGGCCTTACACAGCACCCCACCTGGTCAGCCACTGGAGGGCGCCACAAGAGCAGCTGACGGGACAGCGAGGCTGCCCCAGGGCCAAAGCCTCTCCAGGGCTCCAAGCTCTGTGAGCTCCTACCAACCAGCTCCCACTGTCCCTTCGTGCCTGTGGGGACAACGGCTCCCTGCTATCTTGTCCCTGACCTCTGTCTGCCCCATCCCTGAAAAGTCCTGCATTAAACTCTCGCTAGTTAAACCGTCGGCAGAAGGAAAACACCAAATCTGATGTCACAAAACCTTTAGTTGACATGCACCGCACCTGGCCTTGCACCCATGTGGGGTAAATGATAATAAATACACATCTACACAACACAGTTATGTACAAAACACTTCTCTTCAATCAACAGGCAGCAATCTTCTCACTCAGCAGACCTGTATCATCATAGATGTCACCATGCTATCGAAGGCCCTGCAAAGAGAAACGTGCAATTGAGAAGAGACCTGGCCCTCCACCCCTGCCCAGAGGCAGGCTCTGTGGCACTGCCTGAACCCCACGCCTCTCTGGAAGTCAGTCTTTAACGTCCAGATGAGTGAACTTAGCTGAGAGACCAGGACGTGTGTCCTGCCATACTTGGCAACGAGAATCTAAGTTCCTGCCTCCCACTTCCCTCCAGGTTTCCCGAGGTCCTGCCCGCTGGATTCCCAGACAGGGTGGAGGAGCTGCAGTGTGGGCGTGCAGGGCTGCAGTGCCCCGAACAGCCGAGGAGACACAGGTTCTACGTAACAGCACTGGCTTCTCCCCGCTGGGGCCCAAGATGACCCAAACACAGTATCACAGGCACCAGAGGAAGGGCCTGGCTCAGGTCACTGTAGTGTCCTCACACCTATGGGCTGCAAGAAGCCCCTTGGGAAGCGTGTCTAGAAATGTACGGAATTCCCAGGAGCAGGCTTGGAGTGTGTGAATGCTTCTTTCCGAAGCAACGTCATGACATCCCAAAATTAAGACTATTTGAAGCTATTTGAGGATAGCTGCGATCCCATTTCCTCACCATTCCAGTTCAATATCAAAGACAAAATTAGGCATTAACAGGAGGATGTTTTCCCAGAAGGCTCCTCTCCATATGCCTGAGCCCTCAATGGGTTCTGCGATGGTGCCCCAGTACCTAATGGGTGCACATGGGAAACCAAATAGGTGAGCTCTGTCCCCCAAGTCCCATCTGTTTTATATGTTGGCAATATGGGTGAGAGTTTGCTTGAAAAAATAGAGTTCTGCTGCTTCAGAATTGCTGCCTTAGGAGAACAGTGTCCATTGCTTAAAAAGACCTTCCCTCCCTCACTTCCAACATCATTGCCTTTTAACAAGGCAGGGCCTACAAATGAAGGTAGCAAACATGATAGTAGGCCCACCTGGACTGAATGCGGTCCCCTGGGTTATAGAAGGGGTTACACATCACATCAGTGTAGGAATTGTGCAGCTTCCGGAACATCTGCAATAAGAACCAACAGTTTTAACTCACATGTACACAGGGTTACTGCCGTATTTTTTGCCTCTCAACATTTTTAAACAAAGGGAAAACAAACAGCCCCAGGCACAGCCTACAGGCCCCCTGCACTTACACTGCGAATTTCATTATCACGAAGTGCTGTGTTGGAAGAATCCACCACCATAACAAACTTCACCTTGGAATTGGTCACGTAGCCATATCTGCACAGCTGGTTAGGGAACAAGCTGTCAACACAGGGACTCTGTGACAACATGAAACAGCCTCACTTGAGAGTGTGAAAGCAGAAGGCCATCTGTGCACGCCCTTGGCTCCAAAGCCACTTTGGAGAAGCATGGCAAACCTTGCATCACA